TCCGATACTCTTGACACATATGGGAACATTACAGGTTTTCGCTTGGGCAGTGGTTGTCCTTCTCTCCTGGATCGGCTGGAGCTTTCTTTAGGTGCCTTTCCAGCTTTGACAAAAGTCCAGCTGTCATCCACATACCTGAACCAATGACTTGGTGGTGTTCCAGGGTAGGATAGCAAAGCCCTCTTTTCCACTTCTTCCATGTACAAATTGGCCACGATGGGTGAAACTGGGGAGCCCATGGCACACCCATGTTTCTGCCTATAGAACTGACCCTTGTATGTGAAGTAGGTGGAATGAAGACACAGTTCCAAAAGCAAACACACTTGGTCGATGCTGAGAGTGGTCCTGCTGCTGAGGTTGGTGTCATCCTGTAATCTCTTACGAACTACCTCCAACGCTTCCGTGACTGGGATGCAAGTGAATGACATCTCTCACCTTCTCAACAAAATCCAGGGTGTTCTGGATGTGGTGTTCAGAGCTGCCCACCAGCGGGTTGATGATCGAAGCCAGAAACTTGGAGATGTTATAGGTGACAGAGTTGATCATACAAACAATCGGTCTTAAAGGTGCACCCTGTTTATGTATTTTCGGTAAACCATACAGACTTGGTGTAGACTCCCCTGGGTATAGCCTGTGGTATGAGGTCCGGTCAATAGCCTTGTCTTGTTCTAACTGCTTCAGACAGTCTATCACTCTCTTCCTGTAGCCACTTCCTGGGTCTCGTTTCAGGGGCTCATAAGTATTTTCATCACTGAGTAGTGACAAAATCTTCTCATGATAGTCTTTCTGGTTTAGCAATACTGTGCACCTACCCTTGTCTGCCCGAAGGATGATAATGTTGTTGTGATCACTAAGTGATGTGAGTGCCTTCCTCTCCTCCATGGTGATGTTGGATGCTGGGGGCTTTGCATTGCTGAGACAGGCCGAAACTTTCGTCCGTAGTTGCTCTGCTTCCACTTCTGCAATATTGTTGTTACGAATTGCTGTTTCTGTGGCTGTGATCAGCTCCACTAGCGGGATTTGTCTCGGTGTGACAGCAAAATTCAACCCTTTAGCAAGGATGTTTTTCTCTGTTTGGATGAGCTGTCTGTCAAACAAATTCTTCACCCACTTGTCCACATCCTCAGTGTCGGCCATTGATCAGTGGTCTTTGATCAGTGGATTTTGGTCAGTGGTTGTTGATCAATGGTCATGAGAATTTGCATAATTAAGATTAAGGAACTCACCTCCCAGCCCATTGTTCCTTCAGTGGACTGGTTTCAGTCATTATGCAAATGTACTGTTTATAAGATTGGGGAAAACTGCAGTCAGCTGAGACTGAGGAAGTCACTTGGATGAGTGACGAAACGTTTCTCCCACAAAACGCTACGTCCAGATGAACAGAATCATCTTTTGGAGATTTACTTTCCTGGACGATTGAGAATGCATCAAGACAACTACACATTGCGTCTCAGTGAAGCTCCAGACTCAGCCAGCATCAATATTCATCCTCAGAGGTAGGTACATAGAAGATGTGACAGCAGCTGTGTCAGAGACCAGAGACAAACTACAGGACATCCTCAGTGAGGAATGGACCAAAACCTCTGTGAAAGGAACTGAAGGGGGTGTTTTAATGTCACAGACAGAGCCCACAACCAGAGATCAATTCTTATTCTTATAAATGTCTTATAAATGTCAAATCACATTCAACCTAAACACAACACACCAGTATATTGAATATGTCCAGGGCTTAAAAGTAGAAAATAGTTCTACTCAAGGTGAAAGGTATCAGGATTACCCAGATGTTGTTACTGGGAGGTGGAGTGGGGAGTGGGGAGTTCATAACCACAGTGGTGGTAACACCATCAGAACTCCAGTCTCAGGCCCTCAGTCTTCCAGAATTGCAGTGTACCTGGATCACAGTGAAGGTATTCTGTCCTTCTACAACATCTGTGAAGCCACTGAAAACATTACTCTCCTTTACAGAGTGCAGAACAGATTCAGTTGGCCACTCTGTCCTGGATTTGGCATATATAATCTTAAAGCTTCTGCTAAAATACTTCATGACTCAGCAGGCTAAGAAAGTTTAGCAGAGTCAGACAGGTCGGTGTCGTGGTTCAATTATTTGCTCTCCTGGACTAAACAGACAGGCTCACATTAACTTCACCTACAAAGTAATGAACAAAGTAACAAACCTGCACAAACAGTGTAAAAAAAATATTTTGTCAAATTTATGTATAATTTGTAGGTTTTTATGTGAAACCAGTTTCATACCACAGTGGACTATAGGATACATGCAAAAACACCCTTAAGTTATACAATCAAAGTAAATCAAAGTAAATTAAAATGGACTTTTCTACAGCATGTCTGCGGGTGTCTCCATATTTTTTTTCTCGTTTTACATGAAGGTAATATAATTATGAGTAACATATATTCCTCCTTCTGTGTTTGAATGTGTATTTACTATAAGGACAGTGAGAGGTTTAAAGTTAAGTGATGCATGATTTTAAAATCACTGGTTTTTTAAGCATCAAATGACAAAAGAAAAACAACTTAACATGTAATATTATTTATAATCAGTCAGTCAGTATCGTAGCCTTTAAAAACGATAAGTATCTGATTACTAAACAACGACTGACAACAGTCACCAGGAGACTCCGCCAGCAGGCGAGGCCTAGCGCAAAACCAGTCCACCTTTACAGGGAGAGCAGTGAGAAGTGAAGCACAGTAAAAAACAAAACAAAAACAAAAAACAGCACAGGGCCATGACATGCTCATTTATAACATATATGTCTTGCTACAGCACATTTTGTGAAACTGAAAATGACAAATGCAACAGGAAGAAATCGTGGACATATATTTATCCATTTTCTCTCATTAAAAACAAGAAAATCTGGCTTTTTGTTGATAAAATTACATTTGCGAATGTGGAACCATGGGCACATGGTAGCGTTACATTAGTAATAAAATAATTA